CACGGCCGCGACTAGCATCGCGGCCACGCTGCGAGCCCCCTGCGTACGAGGACTGTTGGACATTCCCGTCTCGGTGACGGTCATCCCTTGTAGGCCGCGACGACGAAGCATCTCGGTCCCGCCTTCCAGCTTGGACCTGGGAGGATGATGCAACAGGATGTGCCGGTTGCGTGCGCTGAGGAGGAGCAGGGACATCGTCCTTCGATGCTCCATTCGGACGCGGGGAGTCGAACTCCGAACTCTCGTTATATTTCGACGTAAGAGGCGAAGCGAGTCACGGTCAGCGAGGGTGTAGCGTACACCACGCCCAAGTTCTAATCACACAAGTGACCTGGGTTGGCCATGAAATTTAATCTGAGGTGCAGGAGAAGGGTCCCAAGGAACGCAAGTTCAAAGTTCAAGTTTGGATTCCGCTCGCCGCTCGGAGCTAAAAAAAAAACTGAGGGTGTGCCGCTGGTATACAGCAGTCATTAAAATCAATCTACCGTTGACTATGTATTACCCGCATTTGAAGAGAGCAGCAGGAACAAAAAAAAGGGCTACTATCATCATCATCTCGAACGCGGGGAGTCGAACCCCGGATGCTGGCTACATTTGCCATGGACCCGATTGATAGAAAGCCAGGGTGTACCGTACACCACGCTCGAGTTCAACATACAAGTGCACGGTTTAATTCGAGATGCAGGCTAAAAAGAGGAGCTGCGTTGCCGCAGGGCATATTAACGAGTCGGGACGCGGCGTACCTCTCTCGCTCGATGGATTCAATTTTCGGCGAAGAGTTTATTGACCGTTGGGTCCGAGGTATCGTACTGCAAGTGCCCTGCTCGACGTACAAGCTTACAGTAGTAGATACTCAAAAGAAGAAAAAAAGCTGTAACTGATAACTCGGACGCGGGGAGTCGAACCCCGGACTCTCACTGTATTTATTTTGAAGAATCGCAGACGTACGAAAAGCGAGGGTGCACCGTGCACCACGTCCGAATTGGATACCTGGGGTGGTAACACGGTATGAGCCAGACCTTGGGAAAGACTCGGAGGAAGCCAGAAAGAAAATAAAATAAAAAGGGTTAAAAGAGGGAAGACGGGAGCACTTTATGCCCGGGGAGTAAAAAAAAAGGATACGTGAAGAATACGCGGCACTAGCAGGAAGATCCGCTTTTGAAGCACGTAATGGAGCGTAGGTGTCCAGACTCCGAAAATTCTTTGTGGGAGTCCACATTTTTGCTGGACAAACTGCGTACACTTGCGGATCACAGTACGGATAGATTTTGGTGCCGTTCGATGCCACTAGCGTAGGCCGTAGTAGTCGAAAGAGGCGATTGAAGGCGGGGAAAGGAAGTCTGGCTTTGAACTTTGAGACCGATTATTATGAGAGAACTGCGGTGCAGTTTCCAGAGTGGGATACTTAGTTTGAATGCAAATGGGGAAGCAAATCCTAACGTCGGGGACGAGATGAGAGGGGGATAAAGCTGCATGGGGAAATTGCACCGTGACGAGAAGAGCGAGGTAATTGTTTGAAATTGCGGGCAATCACGGAGCCTGATGAGTCGGACCAAACCGGATGCCAGTTTCCGATTCAATAGAGCTGCGTGGCTCCGCCTCGTTAACGTCGTTACAAACGGTCCGTTCCGTCTTGACTCACGTAGTGTCCCGGGCCCGGGTATTTTGATTTAAATACGGCTGGCCGCTGAACCGTCACCGCATTCAACATCAACTGCGCCCAAGCCAAGCCCAAACTGCGCCTCTCAAACTCCAGTCTCATTTCACTAACAACCCTCCGCCGAATCATTTCCCCGCAGTAATGCCCACCGAATCCGAATCCAACACACCTAAAATAACCCTCCACTGGCTCGAACGATCGCGCGCCCAGCGAATACTGTGGCTCCTCGAAGAACTACAACTGCCTTACGAAATCAAAACCTATAAGCGTGATCCAAATGAACTCGCTGCACCGGAGCTGAAGGCAGTTCACTCCCTCGGCAAAGCTCCCGTCCTTACGATTGGGGACCACACCATCGCAGAGTCGGCCTTGATTGTGGAGTATTTGTGCGAGCACTTCGGTCCCGCTTTGATCCGAGCAAGTGGAAAGCGGGATGCGAAGGCAAGGTCGGCGGCGAGACCGAGGGGTACATGCGCCACGGTACTACATGCATTATTGCGAGGGCTCCTTGATGGCGTTGGTGCAGGTTGGATTGGTTCCAATGGTTCGTACATACTTCTCTTTCAAACTTCAGTGAACACCTTGATACTGACCGACGCCCACGCACCCATAGCAATCAAATTTCCCCTGTCCCTTTCTTCATCCGCCCCGTCACGTCGCAGATCTCCGAAAACTGAACAAAGCGTTCGTCGACCCCGGTTTCGTGACCCATTTTACCTTTCTCGAGGAACAGCTCGCCTCTGCGCCCGATGGCGGGCCGTATCTCTGCGGTGCGAAATTACGGGCGCAGATATCATGATGAGTACCCCGTTATGGTACTGACGGGCGGGATGGGAGAGCGTAGTCCGGCGTATTTGAACAAAGAGGCGTTTCCGAAGGTGTTCGCATACGCAGAGGTGCTGAAGGCGAGCGAGAGTTACAAGAGAGCGGTAGAGAGGATTGTGGCCCTCGAGGAGAGTACAAGATAGTATAGATATTCGTAGGGGTTTGTACCAGTCTCAATCTCTTGGACTTTTAGCCTGAGCAGGACGTTCCTACCTCAGCACCAGACGATGCATTGTGTTGTTCCAAAGCAAGAAGACAGAAGTTTGAGGAAGACGCGTGGGCATTCCAGGGATTCGATGGTTAGAATCTGGAGCCACGAAGCCGCGCGCAGGGAGGAAGGAAGACGAGCACGCGCATCTAACGGAAGTTCTGAGTAAGCTAAGCTTGAACTTGCTTAGCAGCCCCTATCTCCGTCCCGATCTCGACTGTGCGGACCAAGTGCGGACGCCGGATTCTGTCTGAACGAGTCGACGCCAATTTCAAGAAATTCACAGTAATTGTCTACTAGTGGGTCCAAGAGAGCAGCAAGAACAATAAAGATATTCAGTATGGAGACACAACAAGACTAAACCGGCTGGAGGAAGACAAGGACAAGGAGCAACAAAGGATTCAAACTCCGCCGATCGCAAGTCCCGATTTGGACACGGGCGTTTTTGTCTCTTCCGTCCACCAAGACAATGAGTCATATAAAGCCGCGGGAGCACCCAGCAATGTCGTCGTCTGACTCGTTGGGTCTCCGTCTCTCCTTGCTCGTCGGCCTTGTCTGCTTTGCCTGCGGGGAACTCTACAATTACCTATAGGATAAGTCCTTTTGAAGTTCTACTTTCTGACGACGTTGGCACCAGGATGAGCTGTAAGGCTTCTTTATCTTTTCTGTCCACGTTCAAGAATAATTCTGACAGAGGACCCATAGTATCTCCTCATATCAAGCGCAGACACGCGTCGTGCGCCGAATTTCACCGCTCACGAATATCTGTGAGAAGCAGGCTCAAATGGATCCAGCGCCGGCTCTGGAACAATCCAAACGGAGGTGGATTCAACCCAAATGAATCTATCCAAGAGCGTGAAGGCGAAACGCCGCCAGGGTGTCTCGGATCTGCGCATCTTACCGTGTTTTTCTCTCTCAGTCGCGACTCCGCAGACTGGCGGTTCACCCACTGTGACTCAGATTCTGGGGAAGACGAGGAAGTGCTCGAATTTCCCCGGCCGCCGACATCTGCGCTGGACGTCCGTACCGTGTGTTCGCGGTACTCGCATTCGCCGCATTCCAGCGTCGATTCGATCGTCTCCGAGTCGGACTGTTCTCAGCCGCACTCGGGATGTTCAAGTCCGACGTCCAGCGGACCGCCGACGACTCCTACTACCCCCACGTACTCAACACAGACTCAAACCCAGATGCAGAAACCTTGTCTGGTGCGCTGCAGACCGTCAGGCCGCAGAGCACCACGAATCGCTCGCGGCGGGTGTACCTTCTTTGTCTGTGCCTCCTTTACCCCCCGCAGCCCCTCCTTCGTCCTCTGCGCCGGCTCTGGCTTCATCTACGGCTTTGTATCAAGCCATCCCGGAGGAAGCAGACGCGGCCGAATACTACGCCGCACACGCGTGCGCCGCCGTCGCGCTCGCGCCCCCGCTGCCGCTGCCTCTCCCTTTGTCGCACCCCGCCGCTACGTCTTCTGTCTCGGCCTCCGCGTCTCCAGCAGCCGAGCTCGCTTCTCTATCGACAACATCCCCAGCGGCATCTACCGCATCTGCGGACCTTCCACGACGCAGCGCGAATCTGGTATCCTTGCCTCCTCGCGATGGCGGGGTGGCAACATAAGTACTCATACCCGATCGCGTGCCCCGGCGCCCAGCCGCGCTCCGCCGCCGCCGCCTCCGCCCACCGTCGAATCCTCTCTCTTCAGTTTTCGCGCCTTCTACGGCTTCCTCTACCCTGAACCCCGCGCTTGACTCACACTCGCCCTCTCAAATGGGCTCATCACCTTCGTATTCGCAGTCCCCCCATTCATATCACTTCGATTCTATGTCCGCGGATGTTTTCCATTTGCGAAATTCGCATGTACACGCTAACTCGCATTCACATTCACGCTTGACCTCTGACGCAAGGAGCTTCAATCCAGTGGAGGCGTCCACGTCTCGTCCGCGCTCGACATCGACATCCTCTTCCGCCTCCTCTGCCTCGCAGTCCCATTCGCAATTCACCTTCGGCCCCTTCCCCTCGAGCCGCCCTTTTTCACCTGAGGGCCCGCAGACCCAAGTCCCCAACTTCTCCCGCCCCACCTCGTCCGCGCTCGTCCTCCGCCCCGCCCCTTCAATCGCGGGGCTCGAGCGCGCCGGAGCGCCGCCGACTTCGCGGAATGGGATGGGGAAGGGACCTCGCGCGCCGACTACGCGGCGTATGCGCCCCTTCTGCAGACGCCGACGCCCTCGCCGGTGGCTGCGACTTGGCATCCGGGTATGTGTTTTCCTCCCTATGATGGTAGGTTCTGATGATGTTTGCAGGCTCGGGGAGTGTGGTGCTGGGCGTCATGTACGGAGGCCTTGCGGTCCCGCGCGATGGAGGTGGAGGGGATGTAGCGTGAGCGCGGAAGCGGGTGAGGATAGGCTGGGCCCAGTGGGTGCTCTACGCAGACGGAGAGCCGGAGGGTGCGCTCGTACCCTCGAGGAGGACGCGCCGCCTCGCCGCTCGTCGCGTCGGCGCCGTGTCCTTCTCTGGTCTGAGCGCACTGACTCGGAGCACGCGAGCAATGGCACCGGCGTCCATCTAACGAATCTTTATCTGCATCCACGTCTCGTGTGCCTCCTCCGTCCCTTGCGCCTCCGCCCTTCTCCGCGTCCTCTTACACCCCTCGCTCTCCTCTCTGCCGCGTCAAGACTCGCCCTCCCATCTCGTTGGAAACCACCAGGTCACTCCCGTGCTCGGCTCGCGCTGGTCCTCGTCGACAGTCTCCACCCTCTCCGCGCAGTCCGCATACGCATACACGCGAGAAGAGCTTCGTTTGCATGGGCGGGGGAGGGCAAGGGACGTCTCGCCCGCTGCCGCTTACACGGCAGGACAGGCACCGCGCGCGCAGCCCCCGCCGAAGCCCATGCCCCGGCCGATGGGCAGCGTGACCGTCCTCCGCCCGCCGTCGAAGGCACGCCATGCGCAGGACGAGAACG